ATGATGGCTTGGCAGATGAGGCTGTCGCCGGCGGCGGCAGCAGCGGCCAGAGCGTCCGCCTGAGACTGATCCACCACCACCTGGTTCAAGCAAAAGATAAACACCAGCTTGAGATACAATCGAAAGGGAAACGCAGGAAAGACTTAAAGCGTGCGCTCTCACCTGCTGCTCCTGTGTTGTCCCGTCCACTTCCATTGTGAAGTGGACCTGACGGAGGACCTCCTGGGAGCCGGCCTCCACCACACTGACCACAGCAGTCTGAGCCTCCACCATCTCCTGCTCCTCAGCTTGCTGCTCCACAACTACCACTTCCTGTTGGGCCACCACCTGGCCTTGGTCAGTTTCAACTCCTGAAACATTCACACCGTCTCAGGATCTGCTCCATTTACTGTGTCACTGCACTTCAAGCCAGATTAAACATGGACAAGTTTTGCTAGTTTTATAAATAAATTTAAATATTATAACTTCACTTCATAGTATTTATGAAAATAACTGCATTGGGAGACTTACTAGAACTAAGTTACAGTAAGATTTTTTTGTTAAATTACATCACAGTAGCTATTATAATCTGTATTATATATTGGAAGTTCTTAAACACTGAATACAATTTAAAGTTCAATATTTTTCTACACATAGATTGGTCATCATTTTTTAAGCTCAGGCTTCAAAATGGAAACCTGCAAAAATTGTCACACTAGATGACAAAGGCTCGATGAATGGATAAATGGCTGGACGGATATATGGACAGATCGACAGACTGATGGATGGATGTAGGAATTGTTGGATGTATAAATGGATGCAACTGTGCAGTGACTGCACTGCATTTCCTTTCCTTTAAAATTAGTCTGACCTTTCTGCACTCCGTCTTTGCTGACCAGGATCTCCTTGTACTGGACAAACCGGATCTTCTCTGTGCAGGGAGTCAGGGATTTCAGATGTCTGGTGAGAGCCCCCGACTCTCTGAAGGACTGCCCGCACAGGGTGCACCGATACGGCCGCTCATCTGCACGCAGTGGAGAAGAGAGCAAAATAGAAAAGTTTTGATTTCTGGCACAGATGTCAAAGTGAGAAATTTCAACAGTGCTGCGTGACTCCAGTTCATTCACCAGTGTGCCGACGGTTGTGACGTATCAGTGAGCCTTTGGTACGAAATGAAGTCCCACACAGGCTACAGGAGAAGTTCTTCTGGTCACTGTGAGTTTTCATGTGAGTCCTCAAGATGTTTGTCTACGCAGGGAAACAGAATCACAGAGTGAACGGAAGTTAGAAACAAGCATCAACTAAGGTAATTGCATCATGTGGCTTATCAACTGATTGACTCACGGTTTTAAATGTCTTTTCACAAAGGTGACAGATGTAACGTCCCTCCTGATTTACTTTGAAAGTCTGCTGTTCACCGTCAGCGTTTTCAGATTCAAACGTTGCACTTTTATCTGACTGGTCGGTTACTTTAATAGAAGCGATTTTCTTCCTATGACCTCGACCCATTGGACCATTTCTTTCATCTGCGTGGAGAACAAAATAACAGAAATTTAGCGCAGTACTGCAGAAAAAATTAACTGAGCAAACATAATAACAAATTGATAAATAACTGTTAAAACTAATGTATTTGTAATTCAAACTAAGCACTCCAATTAAAAATATGCATCTTTTGTGGTTTTTAAGGTTCTCAAGGATTCTATAGAGCAGCAGAAAAAGTAAAAAAAAAATAAAATAAAAGACATATTAAGGTTGATAACCTACAATCGGTGGTCGTTGCTGGTTTAACTGTAGATATACTTTCAGTTTTCGCCTTGGACGCTGAGCTTCCAGTACTTGAAGAGACCTACAGAAAAGAAAACATAACAAAATGACATACTGATGAAGTTTCATGGTTTAATTACATGTGCACAGATGGGAGAAAAACATAGTCGTTTCATAACCATACATATACATTTTTGTTCTAAGCTGTGTTTATCTTGATGGTGCGGAAAAAAAAAACTTGCTCCAGGTTGGTGTTTGCTAAGAGGAATATTTTTGCTTTTTGAATGTTTATCTCCTTGGACTGAATCTGACAACTAAATTTCCCTTTTATCTGCCAGATTAAAACTGATCATGCCAAGAAAATTCACTGACTATTTGTATTATGTAAAACAAATATCTGGATCTTGGCAACAACCCCAATTTATGAAGAAATTAAATATCAAATTTAGCTTTGTTTTTAAATAAAAATTATGTTTTCTGAAGTGAACATTTATTCCTCTAGAATGTATCATTAGTAAATCAATCTGAAAGATTTCCCACTGGATGATCAAGATTGTATTGACCACAACAACACAGTTTCTTAGATAAACAAAAAATAATAATAATAATTTGAGCTTAAAACTGTCTGAGGACATGCCTGCTGGTTGTTCTCCTGAGAAGCCCGTCTGGTCTCCAGACGTTTGCAGCTCTGCTGCAGCTTGTGCTGGATGAAAGCCTCCAGGCTGGAGAACTCACACCGACATCGCCCGCACTTGTGGACATCATCATCTACAAAAGGACGCAAAACAACCATGTAAATGTGAGATACTTCTGGGGTTTCTTACGACTTGTAATCCTTACTACTGCAAGGTGCTGCATGTTTGGTGCAACGTCTTCAAATGCCAACAACAACTGGGCAAATCTACAGCGATGCAGCAAACTGGCTAATGTTGCTAATGTTAGTTAGCTGCTACTAGCACAATTTCATTACGAGGAAGTTAGCAAGGCCCAAACGTGATAACAGAGATGGAATTTAATCTTGTTTTATGCCGTCAGGGGCCTAACCTTCATCTCCCAGTGTAGTCTGAATGGTGATGGTGTCGGTGCCGTCCGTCGTTTGCTCCTTCTCTGTTTCTGCCGTATGATTATTTTCTGCATTCATGTCGTTTAACTTCTCCGTCTCTGTCGCAACGCAGCAGCGGGGCGGGAGCAAATATGGCGGATTTACGACCGCGTAGTCATAACAACTAAAGGGCTCGTGCACGTGTGGAATGAAACAAAACGAGATTTTCTGCTAGGGACTTGGTCTTAAACTGCCTAATTCCTCGTCATGTGCCTCTAGAGGTGGTTCTTGTTCCGAAATAATTTACACATTTGGACAATGATGCATTTGAAACCTGAACATCTGACTTTTGGGTTAAAATAACACTCCACACAACCTTCTGTTTTGAATTCATTGAACACAACATTAAATAGAGGGTATTAAAACAATAGTATAAGGACTGGGCAAACCAGTTGTGCATAGCAGGAATATAAAAAACCTTATTGATTTCACTCAGAGAAAGCAATGGTATTTCCTGGATGTCTTGGTTCAGGAAACAACAGTATTAATAACATAAGAATACATTCAATTAAAAAAATACTGTTTATCCCAAAAGGAAATTAAATGTTGACATAACTTATGTTGAGAAAATAAATTTAAAATAAGCTAGTTTTAAAACTTAACATGTCTTGATTCAAATGGCCTAATTGTGGTTTTGAAATTAGTAATGTATTCTGGCTCTTCAACCTTTATTTTACTTTTAGTTACAGCAGATGGTTTGCTAGGATCGTTTGAACTGCCTTTTGTCTGTGGGAAAACAATACAGTGGAAGTTGTAGCTTTTCACACTCATCTGTGAAAGGCCGTAAACACGGCAGGGGTTTTAGGCTTCAGATAGAGGGTCAGAGATAGCTCCTGGTTGGATGAGCAAAGATATGCCTTATTTGAATAAATTAAAGATAAGAATACGCCTTTTACTATAAAACTTTCCACATGGAGTAACAAATCAGATTTGCTCTTGCAACTCTCAAAAGATGTCTTTGCACGTCTTTGTTTTTCTTCTTCTTTCCATTTATGTCAGGTAAATGAATGTATGTTTCTGTTGTTCTGCAGTTTTGTTGTTAATTCATAAGTTGTTTCTTATTGAATTAAATTCTGTAATTTTGTGACGTCAACACGCATTGTTGTTTTCCTTGTGGCCACACATGGCCTGCCGAGAGGACCTGGGATCCAGAGGAAGAGAGAGAGACAAACTTTTTCCAAAGTTAACCAATTTTAGAATTTCTTCCTTAACACTTATAAGTATCTTTAAAAAGTGGTCGGTGATGCTGTGGGCAGGAATCGGCCGTAGCAGTCAATTTTGCAACAAATCTGAGGAGGCCTCTGACAGAAGACTTGCTGTGCGGCAGTCTCTTTTCCATAGTAACACATCCTGGATGATATAAGATTTGGTAAATTTGTTAATTCCCCTCATTTACTTTTATTACTCCTCTGTAAATATTTGTCTGGCTGCATAGTTAAAAGACAGACAGAGAAATGTTTACATTGACATATTTGTTGTTCAGTTGAGGTATTTCTGTCTCTGTTCTTTTCAAGATTAGTGTGTTTGCTTGAAAACAAGGACTGATAAAAAAAAAAGGTGTTACCAAGATAAACAAACAGACTAAAACATTTTGAATCTAGTGTTGACACGGCATCATCTTACCTGATCATAGAAACAAGTTTCAACAATTGAAAATTAGGAGATGTTCTGTAAACATTTGATCAATGATATTGAGATGTTGGCTGTGATCTTGAACAACTCGATGGTCAAATTAAATAGTCTGGTTGCGGTTCTCACAGCTTGTTTTTGGGAAACAACACAATATGGCAAACATCATCTAAGTTTTTCCCCCAAACCCTCCTTCTTTCATCTTCAAACATTTGTTGTAGAGTTAAAAATGTAACGTTGAGATTAAAGTCAACATTCAAGTTAAAGAAGATGTTTAGTAAAGGTAATAAAGGGTTTGTTTTCATCTTATTTTCAACAAATAACATTACAAATATTGATATTTTTTTTGTATCTAAGCACCTAAAGTATATTTTAGTCATTCATACCATATTATGATTACTATTTTGCTCTACAATAATGTAGAAGTACTTTTAAGTACATATGATGAAGGATCAACAACTGAAAAAATTCTCAGAGGTGAGCTGTTGCGCAGCTTTTCCAGTTATGGATAAAGTTGAATCAAGACTTCGCGACACTCATATAAACAACAACTTTACGGCAGTGAGTATGGCGTCTCACTTCAGCGGTGTCCTGCAGCTGACAGATCTCGACGATTTTATCACCCCGTCGCAGGTCGGAAACTTTAACTAGTATAGCATAACGTTACCGGATATTAATTTTGGTAGAACGAGATAAATATTAATGATTCGTCGACTTTTTGAGTCTGATTTTAGTAACGTAGAAACATGGTGAAGTAGCCAGCAATCGGATGTGTTGTTGTTCTTGTCACCTGTGTTAGTTGTTTAAGAAGCGACCCATAAGCAGCACCAACAGTGAACTATTGTTGTCTAAAGATAATCATAAATCGATGTTTACTGTTTGGTTGGGGCGTTGATGCCTCCAAAATACAGGCTTAAAAACACGATAAGCCGCCGTTAGCTTGCTAATGATATGGGGGTGATGTAAAAAGACTGAAATAAAACCATCTCTGATCATTTGCGATAATAATACTCTCAGCCTGTGGTAACTTGAAGTCTCTAATTTAAGAACATTAGTGCTGGCACTGACAATTTTACTGTGATGACTCACTGGGGGAGATTTTTGTTTTATAAGTATTAAGAAACAAAGAAAACATTCAGCACGCCAATCAGGAAAATTGTAGTTTATTTAAAACATATTTTCCAGTTAAGCTCAAATGTTCAATAAACCTTGTTCAGTTTCTATGCATCAACATTCATTATTTGGTATATCGACACAAATAATGATGCAACTTACAAAGCTTTTAGGGTGTTAATGAAACCATTTATCTCCTTGGACTGATTTCTATAGGTGATACTAAAAGGTAACATGGCCAATTTAAAGTGTACTTGATATTTTAAAATCTTATCTAAACAAAAGAACAATACACATTTCCCTCTTTGCTCCCATCCAACTCTATTCTCATTGATAGAAATGTGATCAGAGCAAATATGGAACAATACAATGCATATAGTAAAGTTACCTTGATTAAAATAATCCTGCTAATCTGAAGATACAGCATTGTTCATTGGCTGACACATTTTAAAATGTGATGACATGAACACGCAAACAAAAAGTGAGACAAGGTTCCAGATTTCTTTTTTTCTCATTCCTTTTTCTGTCTTGATCGTTGCTGGAATGATGGAAAACCTTATTGTTGTGGTTTAAGAAAATCCAAAAATATTTTGTTTCATATTTGCCCTCTTGTTTCTGTTTTTGCAGGAATGTGTCAAACCAGTCAAAGTAGAGAAGAAACAAGGTAAATCTGTGGCCAAAATACAGATAGAGGACGATGGAAGTTATGTGCAAGTCAACCAGGTGGGTATCGTGACTCGACGGCATCATGACATTAAAAACCATGTCAGGTAGAACATGAACAGTCTCTAGGTTGCATAATTATTGTGTTGTGCTCACTGTTACCTGTAATACAGCACGCATGTGCTTTGCACACCTGGATGGCTTAGTTTATCAGAATCTAAAGGAACTCTGGTTGTGTTGGCCTAATGCTAAACCTTCACCGTTAGAAGCACCTCAGAACTTTTAATATAATAACTAATAAAAAGGCTCATTCAGATCATCTGTGGGATCATTTCAGAGTTTCACATAAAAAAAATACATTGGTTTTGAATTTTGTTTGCATAATTCCATTTTACTTCTTTTGCAAACAATTTCACACAGAGCAATGTGCAAGGTCAAAATTATTGCATAAGACAGCACACGTTGCGATGCACAGCACTTTGTACTAAAAATCTATTCACCTGCAGCTGCTCATGGTGCTGCTGTTTATCGAAGCTGTGTTGGCTGAAACCGATGGTAGAGGAATACAGTTTTTATACTTTTTAGTACAAATCCTTGTGTACATCCGACTCCAGATGTGATCTCAATGGTGATGACATTATGGTAGGAAAACTGCAGGTTTTATAGACATGTAAGCCAAGCACTGAAAGAATACGAGTGCCATGATTGTCTTCTCTATGAAAGTTCTAAATACATTTCTCCAGATTTCTCATGACGCAGAAGTGCTTGAACAATAGATGATTCTCGAGCCTGTATGACTGGACCTTATCCCACAATCTGTCATTAAACTCTTATTGGTGTCTTTGAACTAAGCCCACTTGTTGTTGAAGGATGGAGGAAAACAGAAGCTGGAGAGAGCAAAGATCACGCTAAACGACTGCTTGGCCTGCAGTGGCTGCATCACTTCAGCCGAGAGCGTCCTGATCGCGCAGCAGAGTCACGAGGAGCTTTTAAAAGTGCTGCGGAACAACAAGGTAGAGCTGCGATGCGTCACCGGGAATAGTTCTGCACTGTTTTTGATCCTGAATTTGCTGTTATTGTTTTGTGTCTGCATCGTGTCGACTTCCCACGCAGACCAAAGAGACGGAGCAGAAGATTGTAGTGGTGTCGGTATCGCCCCAGTCCAGAGCCTCCCTTGCAGCACATTACAACCTCAGCAGTAGTGAGGCTGGCAGAAAGCTCACTTCTTTCCTTAAAGGCCTTGGTGTGTACTTTTTTTTATTTTTTTTTATCAGTTATTAAATGACTCCTAATTGAGGCAGAATAATTTCATCTCTGCGATGTCTTGTTGTCTTCCAGGTGTTCATCATGTGTTTGACACCAGCTTCAGTCGAACGTTCAGCCTGCTGGAGAGTCAGAGGGAGTTTGTGGAGCGTTTCAGTCGGAAAGAGCAGGACAGCAAAGCCGTGCCCATGCTGACATCCGCCTGTCCAGGTACAGCAGTGGGGGGAAAAAAGAAAAAAACATAGTATGCGCACAAAACTCAACAAATTATGTCAAAGTAGTTGTGGGGAGAAAATACTAAAATAACTTGTTGAAGCAGAAAATAATGTTAAATCTATTCACTAGTTTGTAAAATAAAACTAACAAAAATTACAAAAATGCATGCAGGTTGGATCTGTTATGCAGAGAAGACTCACGGCGACTATATCCTCCCGTACATCAGCACCACTCGCTCTCCACAGCAGATGATGGGCTCTCTGGTGAAAAGCTATTTTGCTGAACAGCAGGTATGCTTTGGAGCTGATATAAAGTGACAAGCAAAAGTATTCTTACGTTTTGAACTTTTATTTTTACACTTTGTCACGTTGCGACCTCAAACTTCAATGATCTTCTTTCAAGAAATGATGTAACAGTTTTACAAACAGCAACGTTACCACTGTTGTGGTGGTGCACCAGACTTATGTCAAAGCATATTTATGTGCTAGAATGGCCTAATCAAAGTCTAAAGCGAAATAAAAATGAGAATCTCTGGCAGGACTATAAAATATATTGTCCATCCAATCTGACTGAGCTCAATCTGGTTTGGAAAGAGATTGTGAAACTGCGACATGACATGACGACAAGGCACTAAACGTAACTACAGATAACAGAGAAGAGTTGTTGATCTGTCTGTGGTTGTTTGTCTCTTAGGGTCTTGGTCCACAGCAGATCTACCACGTGGCTGTGATGCCCTGCTTCGACAAGAAACTCGAGGCATCACGCTCCGACTTCTACCTGAGCAAAGCCGAGACCCGAGAAGTGGATTGTGTCATCACTTCAGGTACAGCAGCTGCCCTCATTCAGTCTTTTTTTCTTTTTTGCTTATGGAAATAAAATGATTAAGAGCTCTCTTTGCTGCTGCTGCTGCAGGAGAGGTTCAGAAAATGTTGGAGGAGCAGAACGTGTCTCTTTCTGATGTCGAGCCTGCAGCTCTGGACACAATGCAAGTTTTATCCCGTCTTGATGTACTGCTCTCGATCCTTGCAGGATTTAAACCTACACGCTGTGTGTTTCACGCAGGTTCAGCAGTGTGTGCGGGGATGAGTTCCTGAGCCATGCTGGGAGTGGTTCGGGAGGCTACCTCCATCACGTGTTCACGTATGCTGCCAAGCAGCTGTTTGGGGAGGAGGTGAAAGAACTCACCTACAGGACGCTCAGGTGGAGGAGGCCGTCAAAACGAATGATCATTTCACATCTTCTGTTTTTAAATTACAAATTAAAAAAACAAAACAAAAAAAAACATGGTTATGTCTCACTATTTTTGTATTCTCCACTCTGTGATGCAGGAATAAAGACTTCCAGGAGGTGAGACTGGAGAAAGACGGTGCCGTCCTGCTGTGTTTCGCCTCGACTTATGGCTTCCGCAACATTCAGAACCTCGTGCAGAAACTCAAGCGGGGAAAGTCGCCCTACCACTTTGTGGAAGTTATGGCCTGTCCGTCAGGTAAACAGGAGAATATAGTTTTAGTTCCTAGTCCCAGGAGCTTCTTTCATAGTTCTGCGTATTGATGAGTCACATCTTGAGTTTTTATCAATCTTTGCTACATTAATCCCTGCTCAACATGTTTCACATGTATAAAAATAAGGTCTTCTTGTCAAACTTAACATGTCTCATTTGTTGACCTGTAGGCTGTCTAAACGGTGGTGGGCAGGTGAGGCCCTCATCCAGTCAAAACCAAAAGGAGCTTCTCCAGCAAGTCGAGGAACTCTACAAGGCAGAGCGCCCCCTGTTGCCAGAAAACGACACCCGCGTGGCCGAGTTGTATGAAAGCTGGCTTCGCACCCTGGGAGCGGAGAGAGCCAAAGAGCTGCTACACACACAGTTCCACGCTGTGGAGAAAATGACCAACGGCCTCACTATAAAGTGGTGATCTGTGCTCTCGTCTAGCCAAGATGATGTTTGCAGACTTCAGCTTTGGTCCTGACAGAGATGCACATTTTTGATTGTTCTTTTAGGTCTTTTCTTTTTTTTTTTTTTTCCTGGGCCTGGTAGGGTGGAATACCAGATTATAAACCAATGCCTCTGCACTGAATATATGTAACTATTTACCCGTTGTCCTCTTAATTAGTTAGTAATGTATTTTGTGTGCAGCCTGTTACATCCTAAACATGTCATTTTCAATAGGTAAAATATGATCACCCTTTGTTAATTATATGTATATTTATACAGTTTGAAAACAAAATAAACAATTATTTAATTATTCAAGTGTTGCATACCAAAGTGTGTTCTTTTACATTTGCTGTATTTAGCTTATTGGGAAGGTTTGCTCAAGTCTGCTTTTGAGCAAGAGTGACCTATATCTTATTCCTGTTACAGGAATTGGATATAGGTCTTATTAGGAAGAAAGAATTAGGAAAGTATAGCTCTCTTTTTTTATTTTTCCAGATTGAAACAACTTTGAGATCGCATTTCTTCAACAATCAGTCTTTGTTCATTTTATTCAAGTATGGCATGTTTAGCTACAGGTAAAACAAACAACTATTTACAATGACTTTTCTTCTGCAGCTTAAACAATACTTTTTTTTTAGAGTACTTTTAACTTGACAATTTTGGCCCCACATGGATAAAGTTTGGACACCTTGGAAAACAGTATTCTCACACAACAAAGCTAGTGTTGTTTGTGCTGTTCACATCTGAATTCAGATAAGTTCACATTTAGAGGCCCTTCTGTAAATTGCTGCACAATAATTATATTTGTCTGTGATTTACTGCCAAAGTCAGTGGCGTTTTCTGTATTTTATCCATGCACAAAAATGTGAATAGCCAATATAACATTTACTGTAACTCTCGTGATCAACATTCTATATGTTTTTAGAAGCAATAGGATTTTTTTTATTGCATTAACTAAAAGCAATCCGAACTGTTTTAAATATTTCCGTCAGAATACTATGAACCGATGTCATAGAGCATAAATCTCATCGGCCCATGCTGACTTTACAGTAAATATTCTATTGCCTTGTGACATTTTTGTTTTTTAATATTTGCATGTATTTTTTTGTTGCTTTAAATTTCACTCTAATGTCAGGACTTTTCTACTGATAAAATGTCCTGCATCATTAAATCAGAACTAGTATTTGGGCTTCTGAAAATTTCCTAAAAACATTTATAGAAATAACTCATCCTGTACATTTAGGCATTTACTCCGCATTCAAACTTTACATTTATTAGTGTTGCTATGGATGAACGGATCTGACCACAGATTACGAGCCATAGAAGCAAACAGGGATTTACAGAACAGGGTCGAGCTAATTAGCACAGTTCTGCGTCTCAACCTTGTGTTAAACGTGCAAAAATGCTGATTTATAACAAAAATATATTCCGACTAATATCTCTTAATTTAAGAGAGACAGCTGCAGCGCTGCCATAGTCTTTAGCGTGATACAACATTCAGTCACCGTCTTTGATCACTGGACTTAAACGGTCCTGAGAGCTCATGAGCAGACCCCACTGCAAAGCCAACATGGCTTGAGGCGGAAGTCTCTCCTTGGGCTTCTTGAATTTATCCATTTCCTTTCTCAGGACTCTCATCACCTCTACAGGCTCCATCTTCCCAGTAAACTTCTGCACTGCTTTTTCCCTGCAATAATAATAATAATAATAATAATAATAATAAGAAGAATAAGAATAATTTAAAAAAAATTAGGACAGAGTAAAAACACAGAAACTGAACATTCCAGCTCACATTCTTTTTATATTAAAAGCTAAAGCAATTTTAAGAAATGTTTCTAAATAATTTCATTTAAAAATTACTCATCTAGGCATACCTTTCGTGTTCCATTAAACACTGTATATGAGCTACACATAAAAACTCACGAGAGGCGGAGAAAAGGGTTGTAATCAAACTCCTCCTGCAGTGTGGATGGTACAGTGGGTTTGTCGTCATCATCTCTCGCCTAGCAATGGAGAGCAAAGCATCCATATGGAAGAAATAAATACAAAAAGGTTAAATTATACACACTATTACTATGTCATGGATTATTAACAAATGATTCAATCGAATTTATACTAAGCAGTTCTTTAACAACTATGAGGAAATAAACATTAAAAGCTTCAGTATTGTTAAATGAAATGTCTTACTGATCATAAAATCAATTAAATGATTCAGACAACCTATGAATGAGGCATATTTTTTCTAAACACAAGTAAATTTTTTTATTATTGTTTTTTTACTGCTGTAAAAATGTATCTGAATTGACATAAAGTAAAGAATTATAAACAGTATTATTATTTAACATTTTTTGCTGCTTTTTACTCACCCTGGCCCAGCTCAGCATCTCTTTAACCTTCTCGTTCTCTGGCTCCACCAGCAGCGCAAACTTTAGGTTCTTGATAGTGTTCTCATGTCCACAGAACACTTTCTGTTTTAAAAAATATATATTTTAAACAGATTCTTGGAGAGGTTTCCTTTGGTGCACCAAGAATTCAACACACTGCCAGTTGTGCATGGAAGTTTCCCCCGACTGATTTGAGAATATTAGGAAAAATGTTTGTGGTTAAAGGAGAATATCAGACACACCGCCGCTTTTGGCGACATTGGAGCTTTCCACATTACTTCCTGTCAGTAGTAACTAAAAGGATTTCAACAAGCAGCTGAAACCATCCATGATCATTATGCCAATAAACAGTGACGGTGTGCCAATCGTAATTTGGTGCGAAAATGGCCTAAAATTAAGTGGTTGGAATATATTTTTTTTTTGTTTGACTAACTCACTGTTTCTTGAGGTAGGGAAGCGATCACTTTGGTGAGGTTGTGGTGCATCTGTTCTGCTGTGCCCTCCAAGAACCTCCCACATCCACCAATAAACAACGTGTCCCCTGAAACCCAAAAGAGAGACGACGGAGAACTATGGTGCCCCTCCCTTCACATTAAACAAAACCAGCATAATTTCTTAATGCAAGGAATGAGAGATTCAGCTGGTAATTCAGCCCTTTACGTGAGCAGACAAGGACCTGTGAACACAGCGGGCGCGTCTGTGCATTCATCCTCCCAGACGTAGTAGCACATATCACCAGAGGTGTGGCAAGGAGTGAACAGGCACTTCACATTGATAGAGTTAAACTGCAAATGGAGAAAATATCGTCATAAACTGCAACCCTGACTGGTAAATTTTTTTAGTGTCAAAGATTACATCCCTTTACCTTCAGTTCCTGAGAGTCTGTGACTTTATCTGTGAGCCCCTTGATTCGATCATCCGCCCCATAAACCTTGAGGCCAGGAACCTCATTCACCAGAGCCTCATTTCCACGAGCGTGGTCCCTGTAAGCACAAACGAAATCAAAGAAAACCATTACCCGAACTAGGGTATACTGAGGTTTAGAAAGTTATGGCTTCAAATCTGCTGACATTTTCCATCATACTGTTTCTAGGGAATGACATAAAAGTTATTCTGCACCAGTCACTTAAGTGCAGACAGCACTTAAGTGACTGGTGTGAACTAGACTGGAGAGTAACATCTGTGCATGAGCACTGTCAGAAAGCAACTATGTCTTACAAATATTTCTGAATATTGTTCCTACACTATAAGCACCACTAACTACTCTTAATAAGATAATGTAGGTATGTAGCTACAGCTAATCAGCTCATCAAATTTTATATGAGCTATGGCTCATAGCTAATCACACTTGAATAAAATAGATAATTTGTCGAATTAAAATGATAACCGACTGAATATGTGTAGTTTGTTTGGATCCATATGCTAATCTTACCAGTGATAATGCGTTGTGAGAACAGCAATGAGAAACAAGCCTTCTCTTTTGACAATTTCCAGCAGCTGTCAAAAATAAAGAAAAACCAGTTAGCCATTACGTTAAAGAAACACAAATAGAATGATTAAAAAAAAAATGCAGTATAATATTTTTGTTATAGTTGGCTTTTAATTTTTTATTTATTTTTAAATATGTCACTTCAATGTGTTCCTATGGATACAATTTTCCCAGTTAAAAAATTGAATACAATTTTTGTAAAAGTGCCATTATTTTATCTTCCACCCTTTCACGTCTCACCCGGTGAGGTACAGCGGGGTCCACGGCTATGGCCTGCTTGCTCTGCTCCTCTATCACCAGGTACATGTAGTTGTCCTCCAGGATGGAGATCACCTTCACCTTCATGGCTCTCACGCGCGCATGCACGCACCCTGGCACGCGACGCTTCCACAAACCACAGCACACACCTCCTGTAGTATCTGTGCTAATTGGTTGTAAACCAATCCACACTCTATGCCACACTTTATAAACCCAGCTAGGTTATTAACTAGGTTAAAAGCTTTCTGTAGCTTGTCTGACAATAATTTCATGAAAGCGCATCGACTAACAAAAAGCAAAGTTATTAAAGCTCAGTTTTGCATTCAGACCAGGAAGTTGTCGTGACCTAATAAAGCCATTGCGTGAAACGTCATAACGCAGACATTTTAATCGAGTCAGACAAATCCAACCGTTAAGAGGAATACATAATTTGGTAAAAATCACAGAAATATTCACTGCATATCAGCTTGAATTATTGCTGAGTGTTTATTTTGGGCTTTAATAAGTAGTATAATTTCTATTCACATGATGTCAGTCAGAGCTTAAGGCTGTATGAGGCCCAAATCATAATCAGCCACCTCAGTTTAACAAAAATTGATGAAAAATAAATGCATTAAAAAGCATAACATCTCTGTTTTTACAAATGGGAAGATCAGCCGCACAACATATCTTAGTAGTTTAACTTAGAATTAGGTATGCATTGCTTGAATCATATTTAGTTTACAAGTTTATCAAGTTACGTGTAATAAAATAGAATCACACAGGTAAACACCTATTGGGATTTATTCAGTACTAGATCTTGATTTTAAATTTACAAAAAACAAACAAAATAAACATTTATGCTCTTGGAATCAGTATATTTCACCCTCCTTTTATGTTGTGGGTCAAATTCACCTGTTTTAAAGTTATTTTTTTTTTAGAACAGTTGAAGGTTTTTTTTTTGCATGAAACTTTTTCTATTTGTCTTAATAGACAAGGTCTACCTATAAATTGAAAATTGTTCATTACACATTTATGTTAATATGTTTGATTAACTTAATTACATAAAATTTATCGTAAACTTCTGAGAAATAAAACACACAAAATGAAACTTCTACAGGTCTGACGGATTCATAAGAAATCTGCTGAGTAAGCAGTAACGTAACATCGGTATGCTGAATTGACGGGTAAGCCAGATTTTCAGAACACCTGCAATCAAGTTGAAGAGTAAAAAGGGTGAAAAAAAAAAGTTCAATTCTATTTGTTTCCTTGCAACTATGAGACATTTCTCACCACACAGATACATGCACACAAGATACCAAAGAAGTACCTTGTCTCATAAAAAAAAGATTTCTGACGCATCAAAAAACATCCTTCCATTGACTTTCTTCCAAGAGATGTGTTTTATTGCTTGTTCCAAAGAACATCATGCCGTGCTCTTTTTAGATTGTGCTTTACAAACATCCAGGATAGCTAATCGGTAATGCTGACACCAACCACTCAAATTAAAACGAGAAATTAAGTATAAGTTCTGCTGCATTTTACGCAAATGAGACTTTAAGCAAATGTAGAACCAACACAAAGGCAATCAGAGTAAAACAATGTTGATCTTAAATGAGATTATTACTTAATATGATATTCACTTACAGAAACCATGTACACATATGGCTGATTGTTCCTTACATGAAATGGGCAAATTTAAACACTGAATGAAAACTGTTAGTACATCAATATATTAATATCTTTTTAAGCATTTACAAATTACAGAAAATTCATCTCTTAAAGCCATATATTCTTCAAACCAGTCCCATCACTATCAGCCAAACAAACCTCATAAAACAGGATGAGAACATCTAGTTATTTCATACATCTGAGTCTATAGCGGTATAACTGGGTACATTCAGCAAGGGGTAAATGTAAAGGATCTATTTTAAATGACGTTGAGGTTGAGTTGTAGTTATTCTTTAAAATAATGTAGAACTTGCAGTGCTTTAAGGGGGTAAAAACAGGAACACAGTGGACTTCACTCCTTCGGGACGCGGAAGTTGTCTTTTTCTTTCCGAAGGCTTCTCATGGTTTCAATGGGATCGGTCTGCTTCACGTGGTCTTGAACAGATTTCTCTCTAAAACAAAACATCAAAATGAATGAGTGAGTTTGGAAAAAAAAAAACCCTCTTTATTTAGTTTTAAATAAACTCCAATCCTCTAATTAAACAAGTGCCCAGTCAGGCTGCACATACTTCACTCTCATAAAGGGATTAAATGTAAATTCATCTGCCAAAGTGGACGGGATAGTTGGCTCTCCATCGCTGCACTTCTCCTGCAAAAAAAAACAAAAAAAAACAAAAAAGCAAACACACAAGCTCTTAATCTTTACAAAGATTTGGATTTTTTTTTAGACATCTGATTGAAGCAATGGCACAAAAGTCCAGTACCTTTGCCCATGCAAGCTTCTTCTGAATGACTTCATTTTGCGGTTCAACATGGCGTGCAAATTTCAGATTGCTGACCGTGTACTCATGGCCACAATAAACACGCTGTAAAGAAAAACAGAAGTTAGGTTCCTCCTGTGATAACAACTAGAAACTATCAGGTTATGTTGTAAACACACACACAAAAAAACAACAGATTATGATCTTTTATTGCTTCAATTATTCTACTTTTGAAGATTCTATGGGGGGGAAAAAAAAATCAACAAATTTATGTTTTAAAATACAACAGTGTGCAATTATCATGTATATGCATGATAATTGCAAAAAAACAGATGGGATCTGTTTTTCAGATTCAGATTTGTTTTTGTAATTACAATTTCTAACATAAACTTTTAAAAATAGTGCATTATTTTTTTATTTTAGTTCCACAGTTATGAACAACTACTTTGCGTCAGGTTATCATATAAAATCCCAAGTAAATACACAAATATTTGATTCACATGGTGCTACATTTACCGTTTCGGGAGGAAGACGTCCCAGGATTTCTATCAAGGCTTTGTACATCTGCTCTGCCGTACCCTCGAAGAATTTACCACAGCCGGCCACAAACAACGTGTCACCTGCATGTAGAAAAAAGGAGAGAGATGCAACTTACATTGCATTTAAACAGAACACGTGAGAAGGGTCATAGCATTTGCAAACCTGTGAAAACAGCAGGTGGCTCAGAGCTGCTTTCTTTAGTCACATAGTAACAGATGTGGCCGGTTGTGTGACAGGGTGTGAACAGGCATTTCACACTGAGTGATCCAAGCTTTTAAAAAAAATAAAAATAAATAAATAAAAAGGTGAGCTCTTTAGCCGGGCAGAGCTTACTGTAGTATTATAATAAGGAAAGAACAATGCTACACTCTTACCTTGAAGGTATTTGAGTGGGAAACTTTCTTCGTTATCGCATCAACTCTGTCATCTCCTCCGTAGACCTTCAGCCCTGGCATCAGCTTCACCATCTTCTCATTTCCACCTGCGTGATCCCTGCAAGAGCAGAAGAAGAGGCGCGCTGCAGGTATAAAACATGTATGGATGGATAAAGCCTGAACTGTGCGAGGCCGGTACATGTTTGCATCTGGGTTAAAGTCGTTAATGCTAAACGTTAATACGAAGCATACCAGTGGTGATGGGTGGTCAGAACGGTTGTGAGTTTAACGCCGTGCTTTCTGACTGCTTCCACAACCTGATGAAGGCAGAAAAAGAACTGATGTCATGTTATGTTAGAGAGTAAGGCTATGTTAGTGGTGCAAAAACGACTGGTGAGAGCTAAAATGGGATTCATTCGTGCTGTGAATCAAGCAAGGAGAGACTGATGGTGGAGGCTTTGCGTGTCAGGTCGAGTCACCTGCTGTGAAGAAGATTTTAAGTAAAAGGAGTTTGTGTCAATAGAGCCTTGAATGTCTTCAAAAATACTGAGAATACGAGGTCTTTACATTATACACTGCATAGGCCGGGAATGACCATCTCCAGTCCTAAATATCCAGCATCCCCCTTGTTTAACACATCTAAAAAAAAAAAAAAAAAAACGAAAAAAAAAACCCCTGAAAAATAAGAGACTGAAAAAATAAAATCCATACCATATGATTGGTCTATTAACAGGCCTGTTAATGGTCTGTTAAATCGCAAGAAAATAAAAATAAAAATTATAGCACTGAGGTTAGTGTGCTATAATAAAAATATAATATAACACTAATATAATAGTGTGTATAATAAAAATAATATACACTGACATTAATTCAGTCCTTAAAGCAGTAGTGTTTAAGGAAAGACACATAAAAAAAAAAAAAAAACAGAGTTGAACACTCTCAGCCAAGAAAAACAAAATCTTACTTATTTATCATCTACCAATTTCTACTGCCTCATCTGCTGTAGGGTGGAAGAGGGCTGGGTCTAGAGTCTGTCTGTGTTGTCATAGGGTGAGAGGTGGAGAACGTCACAGGACAAACAGAAAGGCACAAGGCAAACAGCCATGCACACTCGCTTCTTAAGTTAATCTAAAACTAGGTATTAAATCAACATATCTGCAGCTGGTGGTCAGGGTGATTAATGGTTCTCCAAGTTATCTGAAGTTAGTTCAAACTTTCTCTTTGGACTTTGGATGCTTTTCCATTCATTTTCTGTTCATTCTTTTGTCCCCAAAATAAAAGTGTTCCAAGGTCAAATTTAAAATGCGTTTTGAAGCAGATGTGTTCATATCAATGAGTCTGCAGTTGCCGTTTTTACTCCAATCACTTGACTGACTGAGTCATCCTCTCAAAATCCCTTCAGTTTCGCAAGTTGCAGAAATTCCCATCTCATGTTTGATTCACCACGAGAGAAGAAGTTCTCGAGTTCCAACAGAAATCTACTAATACTATAAATAAAATGGATTTTCAAAGACAAGGTATGCAAAACCAACATAAAACCAGCGTATGCTGCTATACAAAAACTTTACCTACGCATTTAATTTGCCATCATAAGTACAGACCTTTATTGGCTCCACTGGATCAACAATGGCAGCTTCTTTTGACTCTTCATCGATCAGCAGATACATGTAGTTGTCACTGAGCGCTGGCAGAAGTTCGACCCTCATGTTGGCTTGTTGGACCAGGTGGGATTTCCTCACCGTGCTGTGAAGGAGAGCGGCTGTCTGGGCTTTCACTTCCACAGATGCTTCATGGAAGGACACAAACATGTGTTGATAGAAACACTCTGAGGTTCACTTTATACCTATTATTGTGACCGCAGTTTGCTCATTAAAACGTTTTATGCTATTAAGAGTAAAAGCATACGGACGGCGCGTTGACGACCCTAAAATTAAACGTTAGCTTTAACACAATCGGGTTTTGTTTTTGTTTTGTTTTTTCAGTTAATATTTGAACATCAGTTACAACTTTATTATATCCGATTTTATAAATAAGCATGGTAACAGCAACAATACAAAAACAGGCCAGCTGTATTCACTCGCCTCACTGGGGACACAAACGTAAACACAATACCAACATATAAGTACGTGACATCGAACTTAATCAGGCTAACATGTTAGCCAACTGTAAAACATTTCGGACATACCAAACTTTAACGCTGTAGCTGCTCCTATCAGAGTGCAGGCACTCCCCACAAGTGACTTGATTAACATTACAGTTACTGCAACCTTATCACGGCTGAACTAACCAGAAAAGTTTGGTTTTGGTTCAGTTCCGCCTCCGCCTTCTTATCAACGCCATCCTCCCTAGACATTACCAATCAAATCTTGAAGGCATTTTGTTTAAATAATGGTAATCAGTCAATACGTATGCATTTGATCAACACTTGCCATTTATTTTGTTTGCGTGACAAACATTTATGTGACAAACATTTACGTGATAAACAGATCAAATGTGAAAATTAATGGTTTCGATCTCAAGTTTTATTTATTTATAGGTTTCCTCTGGCTTGCCGTAGGTTGATTATCAAGTTCTTTGGCATAGATACAGGCGCGTTAGACGCTGCATAATCTCCTGGCTGAGACGTCGCCGCCATATTGTGAGTGTCAGAGTTAACCCAATAAGTCCTAAACTTATGTTTTTATTATTATGTAATATTTGTGTCAGTGTACTTGTTTTTGTTATATTCAGTTTAATTTGTTCATTTTCATTTCATTGAATCTTTTTTATTTTATCTTACTGATTTATTTATTTATTCTAATCACCTTAAAATTGTTTGTAAATGTACCATAACTCAAAATAACCCTGTATGGATAAAAGGGGGTAGAAAATGATGTAGATATAGATGAATAGACAGAAAAAACCGATTCACAAATATATAAATTGACTGATGCAGAGAGAATAGATGTGAGGAGAAATGGATGGATAGTGTATTTTCATAAACAAATTATTTTGATTTCCAGATAGTGTGCATATATTATTGAATTTGGGCTGCATGGTTTAATAGCTAGCATCGCTGTCTTGAAACAAGAAGATTTTGGGTTCAAGTCCTGGCCTGTTCTCTATATTCTCTTTGGATAATATGATCCTCTCAGTCCATATATGCGTGTGTCTTGTGTTGACCTGCAATGTACTGGGGACCTTTCCAGTGTGTACCCAACCTTGTACAGACATAGATAACAGATGGGTGGATTATTGAATTTACTGAATGAACTGAAATTCTCTTTCAAAGGCAAACATGCCACTGGTAATATGGCGGACGTGCTGAAGCATCGTCTGCTCGGGTAAACGAGGCCAGAGCGGCATCTCATTCCTCTATGTCTATGGCTTTATTTAAGGTCGGTCAAAGTTTCCAGAGCTGACCTGCTCGTAGCGCCACAAACTACACTCACTAAGCTAAAGTTTGCCCACGATGGCAGTGCGGAATATTTCTCGGTTCTGGGAATGGGGACGGAAGATAATTTGCGTGGGGAGAAACTACGCAGACCACGCGAAAGAGCTTAAAAACGCCATTCCTAGAGAGCCTGTCCTGTTCCTGAAACCGCCATCTGCGTATGTGAGAGAGGGCTCCCCCATCCTGGTGCCTCTGTACAGCAGCAACCTGCACCACGAGGTGGAGTTAGGGGTGGTCATCGGCAAAGGGGGTACAGCCATTCCCCAGTCAGCCGCCATGGAGCACGTAGCGGGGTACGCGCTGTGCTTGGACATGACAGCCCGGGACATCCAGGACGAGTGTAAGTCCAAGGGTCTGCCCTGGACCCTGGCCAAGGCCTTCAACACCTCCTGCCCTGTCAGCGACTTCATCCCTAAAGATCGCATCCCCGACCCGGGGAACGTCAAGCTCTGGCTGAAGGTGAACGACCAGCTTCGGCAGAGCGGCTGCACCTCGCAGATGATCTTCTCGGTCCCCTATCTGATCAGCTACATCAGCGAATTCATCAGCCTGGAAGAGGGGGATCTCATCCTGACCGGGACCCCTAAAGGGGTCTCCGCCGTGCAGGAGCACGATGAGCTGCAGGCTGGCATCGAGGACGTAGTTACTATGAATTTCAAAGTGGAGAGACCGGACCACTAGGAGGAAGAAATGCACAAGCTGACTGAGAGAAACCAGCAGATGGCAGCACTGAGCAGCACTAACCCTACCTATGATTATTTTTCCCTAATCGGGATTTGATTGATTTAGAGGTGGCTGCGTGATCAGGGTAATCTAAGCCTGACTCTTATTATTTTCTATTATTTTGTATTGTTAACTGAACCCAAATCTGCGTCATGGATATAAAAATCTTTTAATGGAAGATGTATCAGCAGGGATTTAAAAATGTTGACAAATACTTTGATAAAGTGCTTTAAAGATTAAATATCTGAAATTTAACTATAAGTAAAATTCTTTTTTTTGTACACGTGATTCCTTTTCTGATTCTAAGATTGTTTTCTTTTTTTAATTTTAAAAAATGTTGATTTTTGTGGCATGAAATTATTTTAGGTATTCCTTTAAGTCACTTCGATACATTTCCATTCCTCCAACTAATTTGATGCTACATTTCTAGAAAATATAAAATGTGCTCATTTTTACAGTTAAAATTAATTAAGACTGACACTCTGTCCAGCTTTCTAATCCTACTATCAGACAAAGATTTTAAGAGAAGTGGCAAAATTCACCTTTAAAGCGACAAAATTGTGGCTAAAGATGTTAGTAAAGTATGGACAGTCTCCAGATTTCATTCTTACAGTACATGCGTAGTGAGAGCTGAGGCTCCGAGGTGCCAAACTGCTGCCAAAACCCATGAAGGATTACAGGATGGATAAAGGAGTGGGCCAAAATTCCTGATGTGTGCAAACCTGGTGACCAACTATAAAAACATCTTACTGCTACGCTTGCCAATTAAAAAAAAATCCTCAAAGCCAAGTGCTAACCCATGTTTTGTTGGGAATCAATCACCCTCTTTCACTAAGTGGCATTCAAATCAATTTGAACTTCTATGAAATGTACTTTTTTCAGATCTTTGGTTAATCCTTGGTAAATGCTTGTTTTTGTTTCTTTGCAAGTGAGCCAACTAACAAAATCAAACCCTCACTGCATTTCCAGAAATTTCTGTTTGGCTTTCATCTTCATTTTTGTAAAATGGCTGTATAGGTAAAGGATTTTTGTTGTTGTTGTTGTTGTTGTTGTTTTAAGGACACCTGTTAGGAAATTACCCTCTTTGCTTGTGGTTAAGGTTGGAAAAGTTTTTACTGTATTCTGGATTTGCTGAGATCAGCTTTCCTGCAGCGGTTGGATTAAATCACACTCAACCCTCTGCTCAAAGTGAGAAAAACAATGCCAACACGTAACAAATTACCAGCAACGCCTCAGTGCTTAAATAGCAATATTGATGTGTGCCTCTAACATAACATAACCACATTGTTGAGAGGTGCCTTTTAGCAGCTTTCCCAGGTTCGGGCGCTGTTCTCCCACGGGCTTCTCTCTTTTCAACATCAAACAAAGTCTCTATGAACCTGTCCCAGGCTCCTTTGCTGTAACCCGAGTCAGAAAACATCATCATGCCTCACCTGTAGGGCATGTTGTCTGGAAGACTCACCTCGTCGGGGAACACATGTGTCCGTCATTCCAACATTTATCACAAAATTTAATAAGAGCTGGGAGCTGGGAAGCATATCCACAGACCAGTTTCCCCCCCCACCACAGAGTAAGAGTGGAGCTTTGTGTCACTTATGTTCACAGCAGATGTTGTCTTTTATGAGATATGAATCATACAACTCCTCTTCTTTTGTGTGACTGCAGGTATTACCTTCTCCCGGCTATTAACAAAGGCTTCAAAGCCAGAGCCCGGCTCTGATTTAACGCTCACCACATTAACCGGGGATGTTGTCATCAAGCCCCGGCCCAAAAAGGTATATTTGACTCTTCTGAGGGCAGCCTGGATTACACGGAGACCACAGGTTTCCGATCTCACACAAGCCAACGGTGACGTCAGCCTGGAGAAAGCAGAGCCAAACCGTGGCGCTGCCAGGGGAATGAAGACATTAGAGGACATTTTCACACACCTGTCAGCGTAGCTTTGGTACCGTGTCCCTGCATGAGTTATTGTTGAGGATCAAACAATCCCAAGACAGGGTTTTAACAGAGGTAAAAAAAATAAATAAATGAATTATTTTAATACCTGAAAAAGTATACCTTCCATAAAAACTAAATACAATTAATATTAAAATAAAGAAAAAAAAATAATTCATTTGAAGAAACAAAATATAGATATAGTACCATAACAATAAATAAATATTAATATAAATACAATCCATAAATATTATGAATATAAATAAACTTATGGCTTAAACTTATGTAAATATAAAACAGTAAATATATAAATATTCCTATAAGTAAAAAAAAAAAAACTAAGCGAAAGTTAAAGAGGATTTAACTACACATGACTACTACATAGTTATCAACAATGTAACTCTTAAACCGTTTCCCTTCCCTACAATAGATCATAAATAGAGCAATATATCGGGACATGATCTGAAATGATCTGAAACGCGCATTTTATTTATAATATAAGACGGGGCATCCCCAGAATCAGAACCAATCATTAAGAAGCAGATTTTAGGTTTTATGCTCCAATAATCTGGATCAAACTTCCAGAAAACAGCAAAGTGAGGCCAACAAACACTAAGGCCAAACACGCGTCTGTTTAGAGTCGCCTTCGATTAATAATAAATGGAACATGGATCAATTCTCCTCAAAAGTAAAATGTTCCATTATTCGTCTAATATAAGCTCAAAAACCCTGACAAAGACGCACGACTTAATGTTATTTTGACGAAATTCAATGTTACCTTATGTGAACTTAAACGATTAAAATAAATCCATTAATGACACTTGACACTGTCCGTTCTTTTGCAGAAGAAGGCCTCTCCCCCCACTGGAAGGAAGAATCAAAGTGCTTTGCTGTCTGGCAGTCTGCATCTTGTCTGTCTGCATTTTCGGAATGGCAATTTGTGATGCCTGGCTTTGCGTGCTGCTCCGAATGCCACCAGACGGGTCTGTGGCGTGGCTATTCTGAGGACACAACCACCAACACTCAGAAGTTTAGGAGGCTCTGAGTCAGAGAGGACATGAGACATCACAGGGAATCACGCTCACAGGGTTTAGCAAATTGGCTTAATTTGTTATTTTGCACACACGCAGAAGGGCTATCTTGCATGTCAGGACCGTAAATGTGTTATTGCAGCACGTTAACCACATGCCCACTGTTTTCTTCTAATGTATCCTGAAATTTTGACAGGCTGTAACTGATATTCATGCATAATTACCATTCTTTGCAGAAAATAAAAAAAATATCCACATCCTTTGAAATTTTTCACGCTGCGTCATTCCACAAACATTAAAAAAAAAAAAAAACCCAGGTTGGAAATTAGAACCACTGTTCACTATTACAACTTCATGTCTGCTAACTTATGTCACTACCTCCTTCAAACATCTGAAGACTGACAGTTTTTGCCCGATGATCCAGTTTATGTTGTGCCTCGCAAAACTATTCATACCCCTTTGAACTTTTTCTTTCCTTTTCATGTTACAGCAGTAAACTTTAATGTGTTTTAGTGTCAGTAAAAGCACTGAAAACTGTGTTTTGCCTTCACATTCAGCCTCTGTGAGTCAGCACTTTGAGGAGCCACATTCTTGCAGCCACATGTCTTTCAGACGAGATTGACCCATCCTTCCCTTTTAAACAGCTCAGGTTCAGGGTGATTAGATGGAGAGCGTTAGTAAACATGAGTTTTCAGGTCTTACCGCTGATGCTTGGTTGGATTTATGTTCGAGCTCTGACTTGATCGCACACGATTTAAGCCATTCCATTTGAGCTCTCGTTGTTTTGGGGTTTGTTGTCCTGCTTTTGCTGTTGTTAAGAAGTTTTCCTCCAGTATTGTCCCACATTCAGCTCCATCTTCCCCTGAACTCTGACTTCCCACATAACAAAATAAAAAATAAAACATCAGCTGTGGTTGCCAGAATTTTGCTGGTACCTATCTCCAGCAAATGTTCTGGATGAGAGGCTGGGTACAGCCTGGACAGGTTGCCAGGGCAACACAGAGACAGGATGAACAACCATATACACCAAAGGAGAATTTGGAGAGAGACCAATTCACCTGTGGGAGGAAGCTGGAGTACCTGGATAGAACCCATGCATGCACAGGGAGAACATGCAAACTCCCTACAGAAAGACCCTGGGCTGGGAATTGAACCCAGGACCTTCTTGCTGCAAGGCAACAGTGCTACCAACAGCGCCACTGTGCAGCCCTGTATTTGGTATAGTCCAGTAAATTCTGATAACCACAGTTGCCGGTATTTTACTGTAACTTGGAGAAGTTTTTTTTTCTTTAAAAAAACAAACAAAGTGTGTACTCTTTGATCCTAATGATGCTGCTGGTTCGGTACTGTTCACCAACAAACCCCAGGGGCAAAAAGCTGCATTTCTTCAGATCAAATTGCACAAATAAAGACTTTATTCATTAATTAGGTGACTTCTAAAGATGATCAATTTGATTATTTTGAGGTATTAGTGGAAAGGGTGTGGGGTTATATTAGTATGCCACACTTTTTAGTCTGTTGGTCAAAATCCAAAATAAAACACATTGATGAACATTTTTAAAAAGTGTAAGAAGCAGGAATAGTTTTGAAAGCTGGTGAAGTTATTTCACTAGTCATTAAATACCGTGGTTCTATAATTACACAAATGAGGACTTTGACAAATAAAATAATAAAATAAAAAAATGTATGCATTAAACACTGGTGCATAACTTTTTTGGTTTAGTTAACAGAGATGCAGGTGAGTTATTTTAGGGGAACATGTTATGGTTTTATTGGCTAAATATGAGGCACTTTATTTTGCTCAAATGTGGCCACAGCCAAATGAAAATGAAAGACCTTCCAAAAGCATTTCCACAGATTTTTATTTTTAGTGTGAAAGCTTTCCCTCTACTTGGCAGCAGCGTCTCCATTCATACCTCGTAAACTGACTGGAAGCATGTCTGTGAATTTTCATCCTCCATCTTTTCCTAATCAAGGCCCCAGAAGCAGACAAGAGTTGGCACTTTAAAAGCTAAAAAAAAAAAAAAAAGAAAAAAACTGCGGAGGTCTTTCCAGAAGCAAGTGTGTCCAGAAAAACAATTTTATGAAACGATGCAATAAAATTCTCTAAGCCCATACTTGAGTTCCTGTTTTCGCTGAACTGCTGTGACCAAAAAATCTTTCCAGCTCAAGTCGCTCGCTCGTCAAATAAACTTGGAGTCCCAGGATTTAACAAGATAGCAGTGGTCCACGATCGTGAAGAAGAAACTAAATCCTAATAGGTCTTACTAAATAAAAGGAGATTATGATGTGCTTTTCTTTCTTGGAAACCTAATATTTTTTTCCTACTTTTAAACTTAATGTGTTTTATTTCTCTGGTTGGCTTTGTAATGCTTTTTTCTATCCAATTTCCTGGGTCAACAGCTGGATGAGTAGTAAGGTTTAGAAACCATTCTGAGCTATGAAATCATAATGGATTTATGGGAATCACCTGTATTTTTAAAAAGATTTTTAAAAAAAGACAGAGAGAGAGAGACGAACAGCAGTGTGATGGAGCTGCTTGTGAAGAAGCACAGAGTGACTTCATGTAAAAATAAAGGTAAGATTGCATGAAATTGATTTAAGCTTCAAGTAGTTAGGGTAAAACCTGAAGTCTAAATTGGATTATGTATTTGTACATGTGACTCAATAAACCATCTGAATGGGGTTGCCACCGCCCAAACACCCACTGACTACATGACAATGGGCAACACATCAGACTCATTCTTTTCTTACCCAACCACTCAAGCTGCCCACTGACATCATAGCGCTCTGAGCAGTGAGCCATATTGCCTCCATCACAGCAGGCCACTACTTGCCTGTCCTTGAACTCAGCTGAATTTCTCACATAATTAAAAGTGTTTAGTGAAAGCTGTAGATTATCCTAAGTGCCACGATGTTGTGCTGATTTAGGGAAAGCTTACTTCTGGGGATTACCCTTTAAGGACATTAATGTCTTTTCCAGATGGCAAAATGAGTGTATCTGTTCATGCCGGCTGCTGGGCTGGCACAGAACAGCTCTATCAGCACGCTGCGTAATTACTACAGAGTAGCAAAACCCTTCAAGAGGGACATTAGAGTTGGATATTTAAAGTTTTAGTGCGGGTCTTTAAAAACTAAAGCCTGGAATAGCAACAAAACAGAAATCCTGACTGAAATTTACAGAGGCAGGAGGTGCTGAGCGTGTGACGTGTGTGACGTGTGTGACGTGTGCGTTTTTATGAAACTCATAAATAAAACACGTCGTTTCATTCGCAACCCAGACATTTCCACACAAAAAAGAAGCTTAGTCTTTTTTTTTTTTTTTTCTTTTGTTTTGTTCAATCAAAAGCGTGGGGTAGGTTTTGATTTTCCACTGGGCTCCTGTCCCTGGTTGTTTCACCAGTGAAGATGCTTGTTTCTTTTTTAACCTTACAAGCCACTACATCTTGATTGAAAAGAGCTCTGTTGTTAATTCTGAGCCCACAAAGAAAGAAGCAGGGGTTTCTGTGTGAGCTCACATCTTCTGTAATTAAAGGCCACAACACACGCAGGCCTTAAACTGTACATGTGGCCTCCATTGTGGGGGGAATAAAAAGGACCATGTGATTTCTCTTTAATGACGCCACGACAAACAGTTAAAGTTAAGAAATCAATCTGGAACGGAGCAAAATTACACCGTATATAAAACATTAAGTACCTGTTGAATATTTAGCATGCTGGTTTTGCTAAAAACGAATAAATCCAGAATGAGGGAGAGATGTATTCAAACCACAATACCCTTCTCATTATTCAACAGAACTTTAACTTTAAAAAAAACAAAAAACTTTAATTGCATTTTAAAAAGTCACACCATTATAATTGTTAACCAGTTTTTGGTATATTTTCACAGGTGTATTTTTTTTAACAGTTCATGCTTTTTGTGAGGAGTGGCTGAAAGGCCTTTGCCATCACCTTTAATCTTTAACTCTCTTTACAAATTTTCTCTCAGATTCAAGTGAGGACCGTGGTTGTCTCAATTTAGAACATGTTTAATTCCTGTTGACAAACGCAACACGTTGTAGCAGATGTGGCTAAAGTTACTTTTTTGGAAAGTAAGTTTTAGCACAAAAAACCTTTATGAAGTTAAAAAAAATGCAGGTGAACTGTTGTGATATGAGAAAAGTGAATACTACAGAGCTCAAACACTAAAAATGTCAGGCACTCTGCTGCTACTAAAACCCTTTAAGTTGCACATCTTTGGGGGTTTAACAGTGATCATTTGATGCAGCGCTGCTAAAAACAATTGTCCTCTGCGTCCTGTAATTCTCTGACGGATAAAATCTTGACCCGTTACTGAGTGTTTTCCGGTTTTGAGGAGAATTCCGGCATGGTTTCTGGTAAAACAGTCTTGGTTCATTACATCCTGTTATTCCTTTCCTAATGAATGAAAACAGGATCGTTGGTTTCTCTATGGGGACACAGCTGCAGTGCCAGTGCCACATGACTTACCCAGTTCAAGGCTGGGAAAGACCTCCGTACCGAGTCAGACTCGCACACACTAATGAAAACCAGTTCATTTATTTTGATTGGAACGCAGCGAAATTCTGTGCTTCATTTGGACAAATCCCTCCTACTTTCTCCGGAGCATGGCACGTTTTGGAGAAGTGCCTGTGCCAATCTTTATCCTTCAAGCTATTTCCACAAAACTGGGCTTCCAAAACACAAAAAAACACAAAAACATTCATACCAATGTGCCACACTGTTTAGGACTTTCAGGACCAAATTCAAAACCACTTGCATCTCACCTCACAAGCAAAGAATGTGATTTTGTTTGTATTTGTTTTGTGAAGGACCAAAGCAAAACACACTTGTAAATCAACTCACCATCAACTCCAGCGCTTCAAAACTCGAGGCGAGTATAGACGATGGGCGGATAGATGTATACTTACTTGATCAGTTAATTAACAGCAAATCGATTCTACATGAAGCAAAACTAGCTCAGAATAATGTTGAAATCAGGAAGGAATTGTTTAAATGACTAAAATTTATATTAAGAAAAGTCCAAATCAAAAGATTAGCTTTAATTTTTTTTTTTTTTTTTGCTAAATGTTTAGATAAAAATGTTCTGTGATGTTTGTGTGTGTTTGCTTTCCAACTTGCTGCTCACTGTTCTCACTCAACAGCCTTCAAAGGCAACGTTTTATTTCTCTTCAGGGAGCAAAAAAAAAAAAGTTTTTATACTTTGTTTCACAATCCAGCTGAAGTTACC